ACACCGGGGTCGGGGTGGGGGTGGGGGGAGAGAGAGATCGCCTGCCTCGGACCCCCGGCCTCTTTGCAGGGGAAGCGGGAAGCGGGGGCGGCAAGCCGAGGGAAGACTGTCTTCGCTCAGGGAAAGGCAACCTTGGAGAGGCTGTGGGGGGGGGGGAACCCTCCGACGGGGCGAAGGCGTGCTGGAGCGGTGGCAAGGGGAAAAAAGGCGGGCAAACAGCTGTGAGGAAGACCCGGCGTGGAGAGGGGAGGAAGCCGAGGCGGCTGCGGGGAGGGTGGGGGCGGCGGCAGCAGAAGGTGAGGAGGGGAAGGGTGCGAAGGAGCTGTCCGTGGTAGCCAAGAAGGGGGCGACCGCAGAGGCGCCTGGAAGAAGAGGCGGAATGGAGGAGGCGGCCCCGGCCCGAGAAGGTGAGAGGAGGGGCGTCTGGAGGAAGAGAGTGGGCACAAAAAAGAAGGAGGATGAGGAGGCGGATGAGGAGTGCAGTTGGCCCCGGTAGTCGGCTGGAGAGAAGAAAGGGGCGGTTTCAGGAGGTGTGGCCGAGACGGGTCCTCCCCTCAGGCCGAGTGAGGCATCCACCTCACCAGGTAGCGGGTTGGAGATGTCAGACCTTTGAGACAGCAAATGGCGAAGTTTCTTAACTACCGGTGGTTGTGTATCTATTGCTAAAGAGAGGGGAAAATGCTGTCAAAATTTTTTCTCCATCCTGTGCCCAAATAACATTGTTGGATTAGAGTTCTGCGCACCATGGCTTGAAAGGGCACTAGACATGTTGACTGCTACCTCTTTTTTTTTGGGGGGGGGTACAGAAAGTCTGGCTGCTGCCTGGAGCAGATGCTACAAAAGAGGCAACCAAGGTGGGATGGTGGGAGGAGGAAAAACTGTGCAGGATATCAAGGAAGTGGAAAGGGGTGTGAGATGCGGAGAATGGTTATAGGTGATTATGGGAGGATTCCCATGGTGGGGGGAAAGGGTTAAAAAAGGCAAATTAGCCCATAAGCATGGCTTTAGACATGAAGAGCTTCAGCCACTGGGCTAGATAGAAATACATTCATATGTGTTACAAAGGTTCATAGGTGGCATCCTTAGTCCTAAATCACAGGGGCGGGGAATCTTCAAAATTTTCTGAATCTTATTGGATTCACAACATCTAGAGGGCCAAGAGTTTTCTATCCACTCTCTCTGATAGTTTTTCTAAGAGGAATCGTCATATTCATTCAAGCATGATTTCTGTGTTCTACAGCTAGCGCGTGTTCTAAGCTCACTATTCCCTATCTGCAGATTGGAAGAAACCTAAAGCTTTTATCAAAGTTTCAGAGCTTAGGCTGAAAGTAAGCGTAATTGAACTCAACGGGACTTACTTCTGCATAGATCTGGACAGGCTTTATAGAAAAAAAAACCTAAAGAAACACCAAAGATACAATAGCATCTTAAAGACTAATAGATTTATAATCATCACCATCATCTTAGAACTGTAGAGATGGAAGGGACCCTATGGATCGTTGAGTCCAGCTGGGGAATTGAACTTCCAACCTCTGGATCCTTAAACCAGATACCTAAGCCACTAAACTCTTTCACGTTCATGGATTGCAATCCCCTTCTTCAGACACACAGAGCTTGATATACAAATATACATTGTGGGAGGTGGAGACACAGTGAAGATGGATACACAGAATACAGAGTGGCACTCTTAATGAATAAATTATTACACTGTGTTTGCACACCATCAGCTATTCTTAACTTTGCTGAGAGGTAAGCATTTGTCTTTCGACAAGAATATATTTGCAAGGATAACACACGGATACTGGTGAAAATTAGACTAGCAGGAGATACAAGGCAGGAAGTTATTTTAAATAATTAGAATGGGAAGTTTGAATCATCACCAAGTGATGCATATGCATGTGTGAATGGGTGTGTGTGTTTTCTTATTATGAGAGAAAGCACTGAGTCAAATACTGTATATGATGCAATAGCATTCCCGTGTATGTGTATGGGGAGAGAGAAAGGAAGCATGCAAGGGAAATGAGATGGGTATATTTGGGCTATCCTGCCTCCCAGGACACCCATAGTGAGTGAATTCAGCAAACAGAAAACAGCCTTCCTAGATCATCAGCTCAGTGTAGATTGGCAGGATCAATCAAAGGGCAATCAAAGGGCAATACCATTCAGAGTTGAAGGTATTAGTACACCATGTGGTTAAAGAGTTATTGCTGGGCTTCCACCTGACTTTTGGTGGACAATAAAATGTATATAGAGAGTAGGAACAGCGTGTGCATGTGTGTCTACATCACAGAACATGATTGCCTGGCTGCCGTGCCACCTATTAATCATGTGTATGCATTACTGAATTAATATGAAACACCAAAATTGTTATTTATCCTCTGCATGTGTCAATAATGCTACGTACTGTATAAGGCAGTCTGCATGCCAGCCCCATCTACGCTGCTTGTGTGGAGGTGTTCCTTGTCTGTGAGATTTGAATATTTGTCAGCTTAATAATTTATTCTGGCATCGTTCTACAAGATGGAATCACAATTATGGAGTCTGTGTATCAATCATAAAGGGTGTCAGCCGGAAAGTAGAAGTGTGTTAGCTAGTATTTGCATATAATGCCAATTATTGCTGCATTTGTTTCCCAAACCCCATCCTTTAATTTATAAAGGGAATTGTAGATGGGGATCATCAAAGACCAAACACTTTAAGGGGATGACAGTCACCAAGCTGTAAGCAGGGGTGAACCAATGCAAACTACTGCGTCCTAGATAGGATTCAAATTATAACATTGTGCTTGTACATTCCCTACACTCTTTTCAATAGAACGGGTAAAGGAAACCATTCCAAGACTGTGGATTGCACTCTGAGAATAAGCCAAAGTCTTAGTCCACCTTTACCAGCAGGCTTTACTTCTGAGTAACTGTGGTTAAGATTGGCGTTGTTTCAAATATTAATGTGTTTAGCTCAGACACCTTTGATCAGGGATGAGCAACGTGCAGCCTTCCAGACATTGTCAGACTTTACCTCCCATTAGATTTAATCTTAAGACATTTTGCTGCCTGATAGAGATAGAGCCCATTCATATCACCCCATTCATGTCAAGAGGCATAGTTCCTAGGCCAGCTAAGTTATATTGGCAAAGTCTCAACGTGCTTCCACCCCTCGTGGCAGCAAAAATACAATATGAAACAAGAACTTGCTGTCTTTTCACAACACATCCAGATTTATTGTCTGTGGCAGTTCTAATGCTAGAGGTAGCTTTGCTAGCCAGTATAGCCAATGATGACAAGAGGGCTGAAAGGACCTGGAATCTATCTACATTTAGAGGGTTACCCATTCCATATTACTCTGGGTAATCTCTCTCTCTCTCTCACACACACACACGCACACGCACACGCGCACACACACACACACACACACACACACACACACACACACACACAAATACTCTGCCTTCTTCCAGTAACCAAACTACTACTGCTGCCACACCAACCACACAATATGTCCAAAATTGTGCTGTCTGTATTCTACATGCACTCTTTTGTTGCATTATAGTCATGGCAAGCGCCTTATTTCCCCAAGAGGCTGGCTAGCAGGGACAGTGCGGAAGGTGTTACTGAGGACAAGTGATTCACAGGTCTTATTCATAGCGAATAAGAAAGACGGAAACTAAGACACAGAAGACCCGGGTGGAAAAAGAT